AGAACACTCTTGATCGCAATATCGAACCTTCAAACGTCCTTTGAACCACAGCCAGTGCTGGATGATCCAGCAGACACAGTCGGGGGAGGGAGGGATGGAGGTGCATGGATGTCGTTACAGGACTCTTGTTCCCAGGAACTGGAACTATCCTTCCCTTCCTTGCATTGAACCTGATTACCTCCCATTCACCAGGAACCATATTCAAGCAATAAATATGTTGGTTATGTTATATCATGAAAGTTTTTTTGATATTTCTTCTCAAATTAGGAATTTCAGAATCAAAGTTATGGTTAAAATCTTGATGTCGTAAAATCAATTTGATTAAGAATTCCCCCAAAACGCTGATGGCTGTGTCTACAAGATTTCTGGTAAAAAATACAATAAATTATATTTTGGGAAAAACTCGAAAAGGCCTTAAAAATAATATTACAGCACCATAAATAAAACATTTTAAAACTAAACAAGTCTAATTCTATGTTTATTAATGTAATTTTTTTTAACAATACCACTGATTTAAAACAAAAAACTGGGTAATTTGTAGCAAGAAAATTTATGGATAAACGAATTATAATAGAATTAAGCTTTATAAAAAATATATAGTACTAAATACCTTTTGAATATAAGTCCAGAATTGTATGAACTAGAGTCGTTCATAATACATAAAATATGCGAGGATTACAAGGTATGATAAAAAAAATTCACCTTTACCTGACAATTCACTCTTAACTTTACAAAAAAAAAACTTGAGGAAAGGCTTCACATATCGCTGTTAACCTAACTGAAGATTTCAAAACAAAGGGAATGTATTACGCACACTCAGTGAGGCAATAAATATCCCACAGAGCGTACATCTGAGGTCACATCTTTGTTATATTAGACTTCTGTGGCTTATTGCTTTTGCTCTTCCTTCATACTGTGAGGGACGAAAGTACTTGGGATAATAATGTTTTTCTCTGTACTTATACTGCATATTAAGATATTACATGTTTCTTATTATATATATATATATATATATATATATATATATATATATAAAATATATATATATATATATATATATATATATATATATATATATATATATATAATTATATATATATATATATATATATATAATGCAAATATCGCGAACAAGTGATACAAGATGCAAAACAATCACGGGGAGAGTTGAATGATATCTCTAGGCCTTTCGTGTTGTAATCAACACATCATCAGGAGCCTTGCAATGTTGCAGAAAAACGGGAGGAGGTCGAAGCAAATACGATCACAGGGAACGCCCTAATTCTACGTCTTTCCAAAGAGTGTAAATGCAGCGCCTTCAGCCCATCTTCGTGGAAAAGGTTTCCGATACTGGGGATAAATTTTGTAATCCTTCTCTGCCTTCCATACTTCATTCTGAAGTTTGGAAACCAGAACCAAACGGCATAATGTAAAAGTGGCCTTACCAAATATATATGAATCTCAGCGATAACTTTCGTACGTCTGTTATTTATATATTTCCTAATGTAAAACGATCCTATGGGCTTTATTGCCAACACTTATACACGGTTGTCTTGGTTTTAAATTTCTTCTAACCAGAACTCCTAAATCATTTTTGCATTTGACTACGATCTATATTATTCAGATTATAAATACAAAAGTTACTTAATTTTCCTAGGATTAAAACTTTACATTTGTTTACATTGAATTGGATTTGCGACTCCTTCGACCACAGCACCAACTACTCAGGCCAGCCAAGAGCTTTCTAGTGTCCTTATCATAAATGATCTAGGGTCCCATTTTAGTGTCAACGGCAAACTTTCTCATGTCACTATTTATTCCCCTTTTTAAGTCGTTCATGTAGATTGTGAACAACGGTTCCGATACTAAATCTATGGACACTCACTGTTCTTTTGCTTATGATTTGACGAGGATATAAATTTTCCTCCTATACTATGTGCCGCTACTTTCTTCATCAGTCTCCTGGGTAGAGCCATCAAAGGCCTTACTGTAGACCATATACACAATATCGTATTCTTTATCAAGATCTCCCGTCTCAAATACTCTAGTGAAAAAGGTTAGTAAATTCTTAAGGCAAGGTGGCTTCAAATTGCATTCACAGTTATTGATTCCATCAGTTTTCCCACATTTGAAGTTAGATCTATTGGTGAATAATTTGAAGATAAGGACCTATCACCCGCCTTGTAAATGGCTATCACAACTGCGATTTTCCACTGAGGAGATTAGCTAATGGTTTCCTATGTTCCTCTTTACATTCCTTTTGAAAGCACCTCGTCAAGGCCGGGTGACATGTTTGGTTGGTTTCAATTTGTCTTGTTGTCTGAGGACCATGTCACTAGTCACATTCATACTCCACAATGCATTCTCGGCTCGACCTGTATAATTATTGTATAATTATTTGTATCCTCTTGAGTAAAATCAGAGAGGAAGTAAATGTTAAAGAGGGTACACATTTGTCACTAATAGTAAGGTCAGTTGAGCCAGGCAACAACCCACATGGAGACAGAAACACGGAAAATAAAGTTAGTCAGTATATTTCGACCCCCAACTAGAATCCTCTTCGTCAGCAGAAGAGGACTCCAGTCTGGAGACGAAATAAATGGACCAACTTTATCTTCCGTGTTTCTGTCTGAATTAATATATTATATATATATATATATATATATATATATATATATAAATATATATATATATATATATTATATAATATATATATTATATATATATATAATATATATATATTAATATATATTATATATATATATATATTATATATATATAATATATATATATATATATATATATAATATATATATAATATATATATATATATATTATATATATATAATATATATATATTTTAGTATATATATATATATATAAATATATATATATATATATAATACATACATAATATATATATAATATATATATATTATATATTATATATATATATATATCATAATATATATATATATATATATATATATATATATATATATATATATATATATATATATATATATATATATGACGGCAAATAATAATAGATAATAAAAAGCATTCCTTTAAACCTCACTTAAAGTGGTCACGCCACTTAACTTTTCTTACCTCTCTCTCTCTTTTTCTTTTCCTGTTTCCCACAACCATTTTTTTCACTGCTCTATCCTACCCCAGTTCTTTCCCGCCCCATTCTTGCCATCCCTCTAACGGCCTACAAAAATAAAGCTAGGCCGACAGTAAACAAGACTGGTTAATTAAGTTAAAAGCCTGTCGAGTACAACAAGGGTCACCGAGGCCACATGTAACTAGGAAACCACTACCAGTCAGAGAGTCTCAGAATGTACACATATTGGTAGGTATAAGGTTTGTCAGGAAACAGGACAAGTGTTTCCTGGCATGGGTCTTAGTCATATGATGACCCACAGCTGGAGCTTCTGGTCATCTGACCGAGGCCTTCCGCTGGCTTACCGATCCACCTCTTTAAAAAATATGGTTATGGTTATAACCATATTTTAACATTTACACACATATATTGAATTATACATTCCTTCAAGTGCACATGTACTGCTGCTCTCAGTGCATACACACCCCACACACACACAAAACACAATACACACACACACACACACACACACACACACACACACACACACACACACACACACACACACACACACACACACACACATACAACACACACACACACACACACACACACACACACACACACACACACACACACACACACACACACATACACACACACACACACACACATACATACACACACACACATATATGAGTATGTGTGTGTGTGTAAAATATCCTTGATCACTGCTCCTTGGAGTCATACAGGGCCTGGAAAATGGAAGGTAGCCGGGTTTGATCAAAGTAAGGGTAGAGTAGCACTGATTCCCTGAATCAAGAGCCCTTCACCATCATCAAGGATGATCATTGCCAGCAACAAGATTTATTTTATTTTTTAACACCTCCTTCTTTATTTAGTTCCATCATTTTAATATCTCGTGTTTTTATCGTTTGCATTATAATATTGATGGGGAGGCGCTAAACCCGTAAGAGGGTTCTACAAGCACGGTAAGTACAGTAGTGTATTACACAGCACTTACAGTGCATTTACATATATATATATATATATATATATATTATATATATATATATATATATATATATATATATATATATATATATATATATATATATATATATAAAGTTTCATGCCAATATTTCTTTTATAAATAAAACTGGAGAAGGGAGTACAAACATGTTAAGTCCTTCATCATAATTATAGTGAGAGATGGAGTGCATTACCTTCACTATCGGTCAGATCTGGATAGCACAGGCAAGATACCAGTGAGATATGTCCAGCACTTCAAGATCGCTTCACACATGACTCCTGATTGATGTTTTGACCACCCCATGACATCTCCTACCACTCGTTCTGTCGATGTAGGTGATGAAGGGATTAGGGTGTGATGAAAAGGGGGTAATAGAGTAGGTCAATGGGGATAAATGGTGGTTTTAGGGGATTGAGAATGGTCCAAGTGGGGTCCGAGAGAGAGAGGAGGGTGTCGAATGTCACTGTATCTCCTGAGGACATTGTCGGCCATCTTGAGTGCGGTCCCGGTAACCTACCTTAACCCCGAGGCTCTAAATGCGCTTCTTGGATGGGACAGACAGGGACCGACCACCGATCCTTCGCGTTCTTGCCTCCGACTCCCGCGGTCTACCGTGGAATTGAGTCTCCGCGAAGGGATTTTTCGCGAAGTGTAACGCAAACGTGTTATAATGAACTCTGGTCGAGGGGGTGGAACCCTTCCTTGCCCACACGATCCACAAATGAAACCACAGCGTCCACAAACCCTATTATTCCCTCGTTGTTGACATCCGCAAAGTCCATCTCTCAATGGTGTCGGTGGAAGGAGGGGTGAGTGTGCTCGCTGAGTGGCTGTGGTAAACACGGGTAACGCTGAGTGAGTGGCCCTCGTCCTCACTGGCTGAGCCGGGCGCCGCCACGACACCCCGGACGAGTACCTGAAAACAGGCAATCCATTTTAGCCAGAATTTGGACCTTACCCTACACCTTCCACGGGTATTTTTCAGATGCATCTTCTTCTAAGGGCAAAAAGAAGTGTTACTGGAAGGAGATATGTTGAGTGAGTGGGTGGAATGGGATGAAATAAGGGTATAGTTTCCGGAGTGGCCCTAGCGGTGGCGGTGGGAGGTGTCGGCGCGGATGTAGGCAGCGGCCGCGTCATAAGCTCCGCCCAGACCGTCTTGAAGCTGTCCGGCCCGCGCGCCTACATTGCACTTCCACCACTATTTTCTCCACGTTTTTTGCTTCTCGTTTACACAGAACTTCTCACACAAGTAGGGGGGGGATTTTAAGGTTTGTCTTGCCTTGACCTGAAGGAATGAGGAAGTTGTGAGAAAGAGTTGATGGAGAAAATTGCCAGTAGAGAAGATTTCCAGTAGAGGTTGATAACACAGGCAGAGATCCGGCCCTCGCTCGCACCATGAGGCGGGACTTCTGACGCCCGCGGATTAATTCACCTCGCTGCCTCGAAATCTCCCTGGCTCTCTGTCACTCAGTATTTTTGCAGGCCAGCAGATCTTGCCTCGCCATGATAAGCAACCCGTCGGGAAGTGGTGGATCCCAAGAGAGGAAGTTCCTGCAATGTCAGCATTGAGTAATAGCCACCGGTGGATTTTTTGCGGTCATGTGCGTGTGAAGTTGATCACAATCGGCCAGGCCGAAGGTGTGACGCGGGACGCGGATGCTCCGCCTCCCTGGCCCAGCCATTGGCTGAACTGGTGTTGACGGACCAATCAGTATTGTTGGCGGGTGTCGGTGGCTGGTGTGGCGGTCATGACTTGGTGGTCGCCAGTGTAGGTGCGAACGCGCGATAGGAAGGCTGAGAGCCTGTACGTTCCAAGTGTCACATACCACGCCTCTGCACCTCCTGCCACCTTATACACCCGTCTAGGCTCACTCTTTTACACACCCTACCCGAAAAGTGCTCTCTCTCTCTGGAGGTGGCCAGGAGGTTTGCTCTAGTGAAACGCAAGGGAAAAATAATAAAAGCACTTGTGATATTTTTTGATAAATCGTGCGAGGAATTATTGTTTATTGTGAGATTTTGGTTGGTGGTACTGTGGTGTTGGACGAATGTGTTGGTGTGGAGAGGTGGTGGTGGGGCGGTGATGGTGTAGTGTGTTCAAGCATCCCCCCACCCCCCCACAAGCACCTGCCTCATGCGCTTCGACAACCTGCAGGAGCTCGGCCACCTCGTCAACTCCCCACTCAACTCCCCCCCTCCTCCTCTCACCCCTTTGGGCGTGGGCGGCAGCATGGCATACCATCCGTTCCTCCTCCAGAGACCTACAGACTTCAGCGTCAACTCACTCCTTACCCAGTCACCGTCGTATCTCCCGACGCTGGGGCTGCCGGCGGCGGCGGCAGCTGCAGCGGCCGCAGGTTCTCCTAACCCCTACAGTCTCCTGCCTAAGTTTCCTGGGCATCTAGGACATCCCTTCACCACCGCCGAGGATGTGCTCTCCCAGTCGCACATGCGGCCGCTGCGGTCACTCTTGCCGGAGGAAGACGGGGTAGTAGACGATCCCAAGGTGACCCTCGAGTGCAAAGACCTGTGGGAGAAGTTCCACAAGCTGGGCACTGAGATGGTCATCACCAAGTCCGGCAG